CCCTGGTACGAAAGGAAGGAAGGAAGGAAGGAAGGAAGGAAGGAAGGAAGGAAGGAAGGAAGGAAGGGAGGGAGGGAGGGAGGGAAAGAAAAAATCCTCTGACCTCAAAAGACATTTGGAACAGAATTCTTGCCCCATACCAGCTTTTTCAAACAAGGGCTTTCTTTCTCCTAATTTAATCCTTGAGTAGGATTCAGCTCCACTCAAGTGATATAGCAGCTGCATCACTGATTTTATATTCAGTTTAACCAGAGTCTGGAAAAATAAAAACTGGAGAATATCTTGAGTTTGTCCAAGAGAACCTGAGTATAGTGGTAAAGTAACAGGCCAAGAAAAATGAAGTAGTTATGTAACTGCATGTTTTAAAAACTTATTTATATTGAGATAAATTAAAAGAGAGTAAAAATAGTGTCATGATTTCAACAACAAGGGCAGTGACATTGCATGTGCATTTACAAGAAGGATGACATTGAGCTAGAAGAGGGGGGCAGTTATGATTAAAGAGCTTCACGCAGAAATAAGAATTCTATGGACTGCATAGCTCCTACCCTGCATTCTACAATTCTCAAAAATCACGGTAGAATTTTAAGACCTAAGACCTTTTGCTTCATATAAATACAACTTTTCATTTCTGGGAAAAGAGTGGGTGCAACCTTACCTACCTCTGAGAAAGAGTATGACCATTAATTCAGTGTTGATCAATAGCCATTTGAGCCCTCATTGCTGGAGTCTGTAACTCCATTTCAATGGGTTGCATTATTAAATAGGAAAATAAAAACATTTTCAAAAATCTAATCATTTCTTACAATCTGGTGTTAACATCAACTTTAAAAAAAAACACTATTCATTTCAAGGGAATACTTTTGAGAATCTTTTCTAAAAATAGCTATTTAGCCCAATTTAATGAGCAGCAAGAGGAGAGTTCAGTGGCTAGTTAGACATACCTGTATCTAGGCCCCATATCTTCAATAGGCAAAGGCTAAAGACAGAGTGGCCAAGATATTCAGTGTGGCTTATTCTATATCTTCATGTTTCACTCTACTTCTGTTGATTGGTATTCACTGTGAAGACCAGTTACACAAAGGGCTATGCTCATTGATTTTCCATCTGGTCATGAAAAAAACACTACAGCCACAGTTCAGTACTTTAAATACTGGACCAGTGACCAATTTTTACATTTTTAATCTTATGTGTACATTTTTAATCTTATATGTACATTTTTAATCTTATGGGAGCACAGTTTAATTCATGGGATAGTGTCCCAACCATCTGTTTGCCAGGAACTTTTTTGGTTTTCTCACTGAAAAGTCTCACATCCCAAGAAAACCCTCTCTCCTGGAAAAATCTGGATGGTTGGTCACCCTACCTGAGAAATTACAAGTTTTTGACATAGTATTTGTTGAAGTTAACTTTTAAAAATGCTTTCCAAGTGTGTTCAAAAGATAAAGCGAAGAATAGTCCTTAGATCTACTTTTCAAGAAAAAAAAAAAAAAACCCTAGAACAATCAAGTAGCACATGGCATTTGGAATGTGCATCTAACTAGCCTGTATGACTTCCAGGTATTTGCTGCTGCAATCCTAAAGACAAGCATTTCCAAGGGCAAGCGAACACTCTGTCACAGAGTGCTTCATTTAAGCAGCAAGGACACAGTGCCAACTTGAAAGGAAATAAAGGCTATACGTTGTCTATGGGGGGATCCTGCCAGTTATTCCCCTGCAAATTTAATTCAAACAGGTATTGAGATCTGAAACATGGAGATATCCACAAATTAGAGGATACTTGGTTTTTAAAAAAGGAAAGAAAAGAAATCCGGCCCATAGAAACTATCTTGAAGCAGCAATAACAGTTCTTTTGATGTTAATCAGTGTATTGCTGTGAATATGTTTTGAAAGTTTATCCTAGAAATGAAATTTCTGGGTATATTTATATGAAATATGCATAATTTAAAACTTATGCATGTTTTAAAATGTCAATTTTACTTTTTAAAAAAATAACATGCATGTGTAAAATGTGCAAATCAGTACTATTGTTAATACTTTGTTTTTAGAATATCATACAAATATTCCTTTCAACTAATCAGTGATAACTGAAGAAACTACAGTGTTGTTTGAATTTTATCCATCAAAACTACACCTCTTTAGAATATTTCCATCTTAAAATAAAAAGGATTCATTTAAAGAAATCTCTATAGAAAAATAGCATCTAATTTTTTAAGCAACCTATTGTGCTTAATTCATAAAACTGTATGTGACCTACAGAATACTTATTATATATTTATTTTAGAACTTACTTATAGATTTTACTTGAGCCTATACATTACATTGCATGAAAAAGATTTCTATGAGAAATCATTTTATTTGACCTATTTAGGGTTCCAAATCAACCCATACACAAAAGTCCCCAAAGGAAGTGCTAAATAGTAATTTGATTCTGTTTTTGTTTGTTTTTTTTTCCAGAACTGGTGATAAACCCAGGTCCTTGTGCATTCTAGGTAAGCACTCTACCACTAAGCCACATCCCTAGCTCTTTTAATTTTATTTTTAGACATGGTCTTGCTAAATTCCCCAGACTGGTCTTGAACTTGAGATCCTAATCCTCCTGCCTCAGCTGCCAGTTGCTGAAATTATACCCATGCACCATGTTTGAAACTGGATTCTGTAATGGTGTATAGACACTTGTCACCCCAGATCATGATACAAATTGGGAAAATTAGCTTAGAGACTGCTTTAATTGCCAGATTCTAAACAAGTTGTTGTTTGTGACTATAATCTCTATGGTTTTACATATGCTTTATAAAACGATATGAAAAAAGCAAATAAAAATTTATCTGCCCCAATTTTTAATTTTTAATTATTTTTTAAAATTTTTGATATTGGAGATGTAACTCAGGGATGCTTTATCACTAGGCAATATCTCCAGGCCTTTTTTTTTTTTTTTTTTTTTAAGTTTGAGACAGGGTCTCACGAAGTTGCTTAGGCCCTCACTAAGTTATTGAGGCTGGCCTTGAACTTGTGATCTTCCTGTCTCAGCCTCCCAAGCCATTAAGCCCCAAATTTTAAGGTAAATTTGTTATGATCAAACCCCAAATGCTGTTTTTCTGTTTTCAAGGGCTATTGGAATGGCATCTGCCAGCACTTCAAGATATAGATATATATCTTAGAAATATATGTTATCTTGTTTGGCACTTCTCCATTTTAAATGTAAGGCCTTAGAATAAAAGCCTTGAATTTCAGGTAGTATTACAATTTCTTTTTAGTCACATAACTAGAGAATTCTCACATATAATCCATGTCTTACTTTGGTTCCTACAAGTTAATTGTGCAAGAATTTGAGATTAGCATATTTTGTGAAGTAGTCAGTGACAACATCACTGGTGCCTACCTCTAGTCATATGTAATGACACACATTTTGTCTCTAATTTCTTGGATCCTCATTAATAGGTACTATAATCAGAGCTGTATTCAGGGTATTCAATGTCATACCACTGGTTTCAATTAATTACATAAATTTGGCCTGTAGCCCATAGATAGATTAGAAAGCAATAAAAGCAAAAGTAGCTGAAGTTGAACATAAACACACAGTAAATAAGGAGCCTTGAAAAAAATGTGTATCAAGGCTGAAAATGGCATCAAGAAAGTGATCCCAGTCCTAAAATGATGTGTGATTTAGTTTATTTTTTTCTTAATTGGCCACTAACACTTCATTGTGGTTTCCTTTCCTTGTTAAACCTGGACTTTAGGAAGAATCCAACCACAGTGGAAGGCTTTGGTACTCATAGTGGGGACAAAAGAATCAGGACTGTCAACTCAGGCTGACAAATGACTATGCAGGACAAGCTGAAAAATCTGGCCCAGCTTTCTTGCTGTTTGACACTGAATGGCTCTGAGATTTTATATATATATGATTTTTTTTTTGTCTCCACAAAGTTTAAGTGAAAAAACAAATTAAGTAGTTTTCATACTACACACACATTTACTCCAAAAGCTAAATCAAATACACTGTGAGGGGGAAATCTGACTCCAATCAATAGCTGGTTTAAACGAAACAGGCAAAGAAATAATCTGAAAATAGTGTTTGTTATGGGAACAGCATGCTAATGGGGCAGTATCTCCAGCAGCTTTATGATTTTTCAGGCAAACCCTATTTTGCCATCATTTTTAAAAGAAACAACAACATGAATAAATAAATACAACTGTTTTTTTTATATGCCACACAACTTAAAACAGCCTGGTGGTGATTTTAAAATGTGTTCTGAAACTATTTAAATCTAGCATATAAAAGCTTTATGCATCAAATTTATAATAACATCATTTTAAGGACATCTAGACTGATTGACATTTACTCCTTGGTTAAAGACCAATAGTCTTAAAATTTTCTTTTTCCCAGAAATTATCTAATTGAACTACCTAGTAGGGACACATTTTTAATTTGGCCAAAAAAATTGTTATTTTTGTATGTGAGTAGCTATACAATAAAACATATCCAGATATCTACCATATTACATTAACGTCACAGAAAAAAAGATCAAAATTGTATTTTGCTACTTAAAATCATGTTATATTTTCAATTAAGTTTTTTAAAATTTGTCTAAAAATGAAAGATGTGATGACTTCTACAAAATTGTCTTATAACCACAAAAGTAGCTATATTGTCTCAATGATCTTCATTTTAGTCTCTTGTTATTTTATCGAAAAATATTTTAATTGGAAAATGTAATAAAGATAATTTTATCAAAGGTATTTGAAGTTTTCCATCTGTAATTTTTCATTTCTTATAATATTATTTCTGTATTATGAAATGACAAGTAAATTGTGCATTTATATTTTTTTAAATTAATGTGTATACTTATATGCATGTGTATATATATATATGAACTCATACACAATATATAAATTCCAAGAGTAGACCAACTAGAAAATTCCTCAGGAGAAGGTTCCTTGAACAATATAAAAATGGAGTCTTCAGAAGCAAACAACAAAACAGACATAAACCTGACTGCTGTTTTAAAATGCTTATAAACATATAGTCAGTAACCCTTTATTGATTGCCTGTTTATGGTTTTGGAAAATCCAAGATAATGAAAGAGATAAAATAAAATTCACGGCAAAGTGATGATTTAAAAATCAATCTCCATATTATAAAATGTTATGTCAATGTACCCCTTGAAAGAAAAAAAAAGCTTTAATATTAAAATTACTTATCTTTTAATAATTTTCTTTGAATAAAGAAGTGATTTTCAGACTTCTATTTCTACTCTTAACAAAACAGATCTTTTCTTGGGACTTCACAAATGTCAATCACAATAATGCAAATAGTGTTATTCTTTGGAAGGACTGGTTGAAGGCTTAAAGATATGCTTTTTCATTGTATTCCTAAATTTTTATAATGTTGGATTAGTTATGAAAAACTATAAAATGTAAAGACAGTTCAGACAGTTCAATCTCTATTAATCTTCAGGCACAAAAACCATATAATTTTGTACAAAACTTTGATTTTTTTATTTGCGAAATTAAAAATATGGTATTTTATATATATAAACTTCTATTCCTCTATAAATATAGATGATTTTGTGATAGTGAACAGAATAAATGCATACCAAATTCAAAGAGCAATGTCATTTTAGGTTATGACAGACATAGATAAATTTAGTTCCTAAGTACCGGCATTTTGATAAACTCTTAAAGTTTAAAATAATACAATCAGAGGATTGCTTTTTCTCCTCTTCTTCACAGAGAACTAAAGTGAATATTTTTAAATGGCTTTGAAAGATTTACATTTGACACATTTTTGTAAATCCAAAAAGGAGCACACAAGATTTAATGCAATAGATCTGCACACGGTTTCCCTTTAGCATGCATGCCCATATTTTTGTTTGCTTTCAGGAGATAAGCCCCTCAATTATTCCTTCTCTTTTACCTCCTGAAATCTTACTAGGTTATCATTAGTCGTGCAGACTGCTCCTCCCTCAGAAAAATAATAATAATATGTTGAAAGTGTACAACTTTTACATTTTAAAGTTTCTGATATAAGTCTAATTATTATTTGATTAAAAATAAGAAAATAGTACTTCATTTTGAGGAAGTCCATTACACTGAAATCTCCTTCAAGTTTTCATATTCTGCTAATGTTCTGCTGTCCTGTTAAGGAAAGCAAAGATCCACTCCTTCACAAAGCTTTCCAGGTGACCTCAACGTTTCCATTTTACCAAAGGGTAAAAATCTAAAGGCAGGCTGTCTCACTCTCAAAGGCAGGTTGCCAGGCATCAGTATGCAATTAGAATTAACATTTTGTAACCACCACCCCACTTTCAGTCTCTCCCAACCCACACAAAGCTCCATGCCTCTTCCCAAATCTCAGTAACCACATCTTTCCATGACGCTGGCCAAACCCATACCAGGTCTTAGACACTAGAGAATGAAATGAGCTCATCCATCAAAAATTAGACTTAAAAAAGTTTGGCATTGGTTATCTTACTCATCCTCTAACCAACTAGGTGGAAGGAGGGAGTGTCTGGATGTTGGAAGCGACTGTGGAGGGAGGCAGGGACTGCCAGCGTCTACACCCTACACTTCTGGGATCCCATGAAGTTGAGGGAAGGTTCTCAAAAATTGAGTTTCAGAGAGTCAAAGGGATGTGCCTTTGCAATCCATCACTGAACAAGGGAGGAATTGGAACTGGCGGGGGCCCACCTCCGGATTTGGAAGCTTTGTGGAGTTTGGTACCTTAAGGGCCCCACCCCAAGCAAGGAAAGGAAGAGAAAGGCTGAAGGAGGCCGCGGGGAAGTGACCCCAGCCTTTCAGCTCGGCCGCACCCCGCAGTGCTGAACTCGCCGGCGCCCCAGCAGGCGTGTGCACCAGCGGCACTGAGGGGCGGGCGCAGGAGGATGGGCAGGAACACTCGGCTGGTGTGCTCTGGTTTTACCTCCTTTGCGGTCCTCGGAAAAGGGGAGAGAGAAAAAAAGCCTCAAATGGTTAAACCGCCCTAAACAGTTAAAATTTTTAAAAAGAAAACCGCGTGATCGCTAGTCTTTAAATACAAATATACTTACAAAAATCTTACACAGGCTATTTACAATCATAAAAGCGTTACAGTCCTGGTACCAGAGTGTGAGGGCAAGAGAGGTCGATCCACGCCCCTCAGGCAGTGGGGCCCTCCGGTCCGTTTGCCCCAGGGACGGAAGCGTTTGCAGGAGCTGTGTTGTTAAAAGGAGGCTGCGAAAGTCAACCAGGCTAGGCATGAATCCCATGGGGCCGGCCTTTTGCGGGGGTAGGTTGAGTCCCCAGGTCTCAAACGGTGGTCTCCCCCTGTTTGCTGTTGGTGAGCCTCGTGTAGAACTTCCTCCAGGAGTTGAGTGTCTTGCCTGACCAGATCCAGAAGCCCGACGTGATGCCCACGATCAGAGTCATAAGATACTTGATCATGAAGACTGTGAAGTCAGGGCTCATGGGTGGGTGTGGCGGGACACCTCCACCTCCCTGGAGGTGAGGGCAGGGGATGGCATAGGTCTTACAGCTCTGGGCCACCCAGCTGCGTTCCCACTGGTCCCGGAAGGCCTGCTCGTAGAAGTAGCAGGCGATGACAATGGTGGCTGGCACAGTGTACAGCACGCTGAACACACCAATGCGCACCATGAGCTTCTCCAGCTTCTCGGTCTTGGTGCCATCGTGCTTCATGATGGTGCGGATGCGGAAGAGCGACACGAAGCCGGCCAGCAGGAAAGACGTGCCGATGAACAGGTATACGAAGAGGGGTGCCAGCACGAAGCCACGCAGGGCGTCCACGTTGTTGAGCCCCACAAAGCACACTCCGCTCAGCACATCGCCGTCCACCTGGCCCAGCGCCAGGATGGTGATGGTTTTGATGGCTGGCACAGCCCAGGCAGCCAGGTGAAAATACTGCGAATTGGCCTCGATGGCCTCGTGGCCCCACTTCATGCCGGCCGCGAGGAACCAGGTGAGGGACAGGATCACCCACCAGATGGAGCTGGCCATGCTGAAGAAGTAGAGCATCATGAAGAGGATAGTGCAGCCCTCCTTCTTGGTGCCCTGCGCCACCGTTCGAGCCCCATCCTCAGCGAACTTGTCGTTACACACCACCCGGTCCTCCAGCAGGAAACCGGCGATGTAGGCCACCGCAACCGCGGTGTAACAGCCGGACAGGAAGATGATGGGCCGTTCAGGATAGCTGAAGCGCCTCATGTCCACCAGGTACGTGAGCACCGTGAAGAGAGTGGAAGCACAGCACAGCACCGACCAGATGCCGATCCAGGTGCGCGAGAAGCGCAGCTCCTCGGGCCCAAAGTACATGAGCCCATACACTTTGGTCGGCTCACAGGGCGCGCCGCAGTCCTTCTCCCCCAGAAAGTGGTAGTTGAGGTAGGAGGGCACCTTGAGGGCGCGCGGGCAAGAGAATTTGCCTCGCTCGGACGAGCCGGCGCCTCCCGGGAAGCCGCCGCGATGCCCTCCGCCGCCGTGCTGGGGGTTGCTGGTCCAGAACTCTGGCAGTAGCGAGGGCGTCGGGGTACCTTTGTCCGACGTGTTTTGGCCCACGCACAACTCCCCTGCGCCGTGCACCGGGAACTTCTCACACTTGAGCGTGTCTGGCCACTGGAAGCCGAACTTGTTCATGAGCGCTTCACAGCCCTGGCGCGCGCGCTCGCACAGGGAGCGGCAGGGCGGCAGCGCTTGCTCCAGCACTGTGCACACAGGCGCATACATGGAGCACAGAAAGAACTTGAGCTCGGCGGAACACTGCACCTTCACCAGTGGGTAGAACTGGTGCACCTCGAGGCCCGCGTCCTCCTGGTTCGTGTGGCCCAGAAGGTTGGGCATGATGGTCTGGTTGTATGCGATGTCCGTGCACAGCGGGATGGAGATAGGCTGGCAGTAGCCATGGTCCGGGATGGAGATACCCCGCTCGCCGTTGTACTGCTGTCCGCTCTGCTGCTGCTGAGGCGGAGGCGGAGGCGGCGGGGGTTGCTGCCCGGGCCCGGGCCCCTGGCCCGTCCCCTGGCCCGCCGCCTGCGCTCGGACCCCCAGCAGCAGCGGAGCCTCCAGCAACCAAAGCAGCAGTAACAGCCGGCGCACCAAGCGCCCGGGGCCAGCTAGAGGACGGCGGTGGCTGCCCGCAATCCCACTCCCCTCCTCCGCCGGCCGGGCCGGGAGCGCCCCGGCACAAAGTTCCCAGCTCGCGCTGCCGCCGGCGGCCGGGGACTTCTTAGGCGCCTCCTCCTCAGCCATACTTTCTCGGTTCCTTTCTTGGCGCCGCTTGGCAGGGACTGGCAGTGGCACGGCCAGCGGTGGTTACTCCCGCGACCAAGGAGATCTTCTCGCCGGTGCCCTCCGTCGAGCCCGAGCCGCGATCGGCCCGCTCCCGGGGCTGCTTCTCTGCGTCCCGCAGCCGTCGCCGCCGCCGCGGAAACTTGCGGTTCATGAAGCGCGGGCCGCCGGGAGAGCCCGGGTGGCACGGGCGCGCCGGGGTCGCGTCCCGCCTTCCTGGCCCTTGGCTCGCTAGCTCCCGGCTGGCGGCGCCACGTTAGTGGCCGCGGCCCCGTTGAGCGCGCAACTCTCCGCAACCCAGCGGCCCTGACTCCCCCCAGCGCCTCCACCTCCTTCTCCGCCGCCGCCGCCTGACCATTTGTGTCAATCCCTCAACTCGCTCCCTCTCCTTTCCCTAGCGCGCCCTCCGACCGGTTTCCAGGCGCCCCGCAGTCTGTCTTTCACCAGGAGGGAGGAGCCTTGAAACCGACGCGGAACTGGAGGCTCAGGGACCGTCGCCCAATCGCGGCACCCGCTTTCCCACGCAAAGGGAGCCAGCAGCCTACTTGCCAGTGCAAAAGCCGGCTGCAGGCGGGAGGAGGAGGGGGAGAAGGTGGCGGGAGGAGGAGGAAGTGGTGGTGGTGGCACAGGCACTGCTCAGGCACAAAGAGTGGGTTTGCTAGGAAGCGGGACAGGCTTGGTTGCTTTTGCTTTTGCGGAAGAAAAGGCGAGGACAAGTAGGAGAATGGTCCCATATGCTGCTGGAGATAATGAATAGGAGTCGGCGGACTGCGTGATTTAGCTTTGCTTTTCTTTTATGCATTTTCATGTGTAAAAATCCTGCTCTTAACACTGGTTAAAAACAGCCAAACCCAGAGCTGAGATCAGAACACATGCCTCTGACTTATGGAGAGTACGGTTTCTTTTGAGTTTGTTTCTGTCGGGGTTTTATTTTAAATATTGCTCCAATAAATCGTATAGCTCTCCGGTTGGGTTTGGCGGGCTTTGGACGCGCCATTTCCCCGAAGGAGAAGTTCACGGGATCGCTGTCAAATGAAGAACAACAACAACAAAACACAAACTTTGATGGAATTTAAAAAGTAAAGCCAGACGCTCCTTCGGCTGCTATCATTCCTCTTGAAGTCAAACTTTCTTTTTTCTTCTTTAATTAAGTAAGGAACAGAAGCAAAGGAAAACTATCCATGACATTTTTAAAGAGAAAAACTTGGGAACTCAAGGACGGAGATTTGGTGGGGGCTTTTGAGACCCTCAGAGGTGGCACGGGCCAGAGCTGCGCTGGCAGCCTGCCTGAGCCCCTGGAGAGATACTAGGAGCCTTCCTACACCATGCTGGCTGGGGAGAGGAGATGCCCTGGGCTCTGATGGGAACTCCTGGGACCTAATCATTTAGGTTTCACAGGATGAGCTGCGGCATGATCTTTTACCGGTACACACAACTGAAGACTCCAGTTTAAAACATACATACAAACAAACAACAAAGTCTGGGGGAGAAAAAAAGCAAATGGCACAGTCCCTTTCGAATTCCCAAACAATCCTGTCCACCGCAGCAGACAAATTTTTGTTTTCCTTGATTATTTTAAATGATGGCTTAACTATGTGACTTAGTTTTACCAATAAAGTGCCATTGTGTTATTAGTTCTACTAAGGATTTTTGACCTTTGATTAGACTCTACCTCAGGATACTTTTCTGTAATTATTTTCTATCACTCTTTAACCTATTCATTTGTTTACTAGATACTTACCAAGCACCCACCGTGGATGTATGTATGCACTGTCTTAGGTGACAGGGTACAAAGATCAAAAAGGCATGGTCCCACCTTAGGGGAGGGCAAAGTACAATGGGTACAGAAATTTAAATCTGTGATCATAATGTGCACCCCAAAGCTGAAAGAGCACAAGGAAGCAACTAGCTCAGGTGACAAGGGGTGGGAGAGTTCTAAGATGAGGCAGGTAGATACAAGGTGCAAAAGACAAATACTCAAAAGTACTTAAATTGCTGGAGGGGACAGAAAAGGTGAGTGTGCCTGGGGCCATGATAGGGGAGGAAGGTTTTAGTCCTACTAAAACCTGTGAGTGAAATTATGCAGACAATAGGGAGCTACTGAAGGTCATCTTTTCTCACATAAGCAGGGAGTCCTCCAGGATAACTGTGAAAGAGGGGCAGGCTGTCCTTGAAAGGATAACATTCCTCTACACTTAAGATGAGGATTACTAATGCACAAACAAACAGGGCAACCAATTTCATCACCTTCTCTGAGGAAGGTGCAGCCATATCTATCTGTTAAGGAAAATGACATTTGTCTCAGATATGCATATTATTATTTTTCAAGTATTCATAGTAAATTCATAAAGTATATATTTCTTTTAAAGTACTTCTGATTCCTAGCTTTTTTTAAAAAGGTACTAAGTGCACAATAGGTATTATATGTGAATGTATGTAGGTGTGTGCTTATGTGCACCTTGACTATAGATCATGTTTTAATATTGAAAAGGAGGTTGGGAAGAACAGGTGCTCTCTGAGAACCTTTGAGTAATCACAGTCAATCACTGTTCATTTTACCGTCCTGCATACTGGCCCACAGCTCCCTGCAATTTTTTCTCTAGCTTTCCACCCTGGTGCTGAAAAGACTCATCCTCAGGAATCTTACTAGTTATCTCTCTTCTATCACTTCTTTCTGGTAAAGACTTATCTGTCCTGTGTTCCATTCACTCAAGGTCATTCTAGGTGACTGGGCAAGGTGAAAGGTAAATTCATTCTTATGCATTAATGACGAACAAGCTTCACATTCATTAGGCAACACCATCACTTTGTCATCCCAAATCCTTCCTCTTCCCCACCAAAGGCATAGGGCACAGTGAACATGATAGAGTACTCAGTTCTGTTCTCAGAGTAGGTGACACCCTTCCTGCTTCCAAAGATGTTCTAATGGAATTCTTGAGTTTGTTGAGTCTTCCACCGGATGGTGAAGTTTATTAGAGGAGGTTCAGAAGTACAGCCAGAGTTACAAAAAAAAAAGAAATGGGGAGAAAATGTCATTCTCATCAGATTATAGAACTGGAAGGAACCAAAGAGATCATCTAGGAACTAGTTTTTTTCTCCAGTTTACAATTAAGAACATTAGGCCTAGAAATATTAAGGGATGTGCCTTAGGTTAAAAGGTCTTGTTTGGCTTGAATTTCATTGGATGCTTATTTTAATCCTTTCTCTATATTTTTATGGACTATTGATCATTTTATTTTTTAAGAGAATTATTTGTAATGTTCTACCTCAATGGATTATACAAAAAAGACCTTGTAAAATGTTTTTTTTTAATCATTTTCTGAGAGGTGTCTTACAAGTTAAATAAACAAACAACCCCCCCCACACACAATGAATCAAACTCAATTTTCTATTTATTTTTATATTGATACAATATTTCATTCATTAAGCCTGTGTGACACAGAGGAAGCTATTAATATCAAAACCAAGAAAGCCCGTGTTGTGGAAGGAAGTCTTTTGGGGATGTGATGAAGGAAGTGGGTACCAATCCAATAGAAGAGAAATGTGAGTAGTCTATTTTAACTTTAGTTTAGAATATGTCATTTTCTTAGGATGTGGAAGAGCTTGAGATCCACAGCTCAAAATTACTAAATACATATGAACTCTTTTGAACTTGGTAATAATAATATTTGCACTGAATATAACCTGATTCTCCTTGATATTGGTTTGTTAAGCATTAGACTCAAATTATTTTCTCATATCAATGATCTCATTTTACTAGGTCTTTCTAAAATTTTTTGAAGTTTCTCCAGACTGCTTATGTCAGTTGAATATATAAGTAATTATTGGATCCAGTTCCAATTATATATGGTCAAGTATATGCAGACACAAAAGCAGCTAGGCTCCAGGTACATCCTGAGGGACCTTAAGGTTTTAAGTGAGTCCTTTTGTTGCAGGCTGGTGGGTGTCAGCTTGAATTGTCATTGTTGAGTAACAGTGATCATAATACAGATTAAGACTATATTTTCGAGGAACTACCATGCATATTTGTCATTGTTTTGCCCTGTGTGTGCATACATCGTGTCATTTAAACTGTACTCTGAGGTGGTTACTAATCATTACCCCCTTTTTAATAGATAAAGAACTCAGCTTCAAAATAGTTAAACAGTTTAATCAAGGTGCCAAAAGTCAATAAGTGCAGAGTAGGTCTTGGATCTGACCAGAATCCCTGGACTTCCATGGAGTAACACCATGTATACAATTCCACTCCCAAAAATTATAGAAGAAAATGTGGTTTCTGGGTGCCCATCATGTTGGTTCTTCAATATTTAACATGGCTTTCTATAGCAGAATATATATGGCAGGGGTATAAACACTTGGATTCACTGATGAATTAGATCAGCATTTTCCAAATTCTTTTTGTGTGAAATACAATATCTTCCCTAAAGGTGATTTATAAAATAAATCTGGTCACAAAAGTTTGGGAAAAGACCATAGACAAGTCCTAAGGTTAAGAGCCTTTCAAAACTTTGTCTTATTTAGAATCAATCTCTCTCTCTCTCTCTCTCTCTCTCTCTCTCTCTCTCTCTCTCTCTCTCTCACACACACACACACACACACACACACACAATTACATCAATATTTTGTTTGTCATTTTGCTTTCAGAAATGCTGAGTTAAACTGCATATATTTTATTTGATTAGATTCTCACTTCAGCATCACTTTGGTATTTCAAGAGCAAAAACAGGAAAACTTAACCCGTTGCATCTGGAGTTCCTGTCTTCTCTCCTAGAATTCCCAGGGAAGGTATGTTGATTGGTTATGGAGCCCTTCTGATAGAGAAACAACAAACTCTTCTATTCCCTTCTGGGCAGCATCACCTAGGGGTCTATTATATTGTCTTTCTAGAGACACAATAGGTATAACTGCCTAAATCTTCAACCCAGATCTCAACCTCATTTCTTCTTAAATTTCCAGCTCAGAAATCTCTGCATAAGCTAATTCTTTTCTACCAAAACATCCGTATTATTTTGCAACAATTTTGAAGTTAAATCTTTTCTTTCTTCATTGTTACATGAATAGCTTCTTGACATTGATGAGATACTTCTTTCATTCATTCACACTTAGAGCCTCAATTTATCTCTCTCTTTGAAACATCCATTCTGTTATATTCAACTTTCTTTAAAACAATTTATCAAGAGATTGTCATGTACCACATATTCTCTCTCCTATGCAGAAGCTGAAAAAAAAAAAAAGTCAACCTGAATGTGGAATGACTAGAGGTTAGGAAGTGAGGGGGAAGGTGGATAAAGGGAGGCTGAATGTGTTCAGTGAACACTGTATGCATCTACTGTAATATCACACTGAACCCCATCAATAGGTACCATTAGTACACATCAGTGAAAAAATAAAAGGAATTGCCAGCATGACTATCTTGACTTTTATCTTACAGGATACTC